TCCCAACGCCAACGTGGATTGCGTCAAGACTGCCAGGAGCTCTGCGGAGAGCACCACCTCGGTCATACAGCACGTCGGACAGCCCGTTGCCACCCCTGCGAAACACAGCAATAAGGTGGCCAAATCCTGTGGCCAGGAAGCCAATTTCAAGGCAAGCGAGACCGCCTTGGCCTCCAGCCCCATCTTCCTGCCGCCCAACGAGGCGTTTCGCTCCCCGCCTCTGCCCTACCCCCGGAGTTACCTGCCGTACCCGGTGCCGGAGGGGATAGCCATCAGCCCCCTATCCCTCCACTAGCCATCATCCCCCTCTCCCTCCACGGGAAAGGACACGTCTATCCGCACCCCGTCTTGCTGCCCAACGGCAGCCTCTACCCCGGCCACCTGGCTCCCAAACCCGGCCTCCCCTACAGCCTGCCGGCGGGGCGAGGGGAATTCATGACCTACCAGGATGCGCTGGGGATGGGGATGGTGCACCCCATGCTGCTGCAGCATTCGGCTTTGGAGATGAGTAAGGAGGAGAAGGTGGAAAGGAGGTCACGGTCTCACGAGAGGGTCCGCTACGAGGACCCGGCTCTGCGGGGCCGGTTGCCAGAGCTCCTGGAGAGCAGCGGGAAGGGGCATTTCGAAGTACCCGGCGACAAGAGCGTGAAATTGCACCAGAGCTCTGGCCACGGTAAAAACTCGACCAAAAGCGACAAACACCTCTTCCCGGATCTCCTGCGAGACGAGCAGGAGGCTAAAAGTGAAGCCAACGTAACGAAAGCCAGCTTTGCTACGGAAAGCAGTAATCAGGCTAATGACCCTACAAAGCACAAGGTAGAGCAGGCGTCGCAGCACAGAGATTTTATTGTAATGAGAGAGGAGTTTGGAAGAAGTAATGATCTTCATGAAACCTATAATTTCAAGCAAGCCCAGAGTTCATCGGTTTTCAGCTTAAGGAAAGAAGATTTATCTGTGAGCCAGCCTAAAGAGAGAGTGACGGTCCAGCCTTCGCCCGTTTTCTTGGAAAGCGCTCACGAGAGCGATGCTCCGGCTCTGGCTTTTGGCAAGGTGCAGGAGGACGCGAAGCCGTTCTGCATGGGGACCGCGCCGCCGAGCATCGACGCCAACCAGCCCTATACCAAAGATGGAGCCGACGACGCAGAATCTGCCGATGGCAAAATACTGAAACCCAAGCCGTCTAAGTTGGCCAAGAGGATCGCAAACTCTGCCGGTTACGTAGGTGATCGATTCAAGTGTGTGACGACGGAACTGTATGCGGACTCCAGCCAGCTCAGCCGGGAGCAGCGGGCGTTGCAGGTGAGTCCGCGCGGTCCAACGACCGCCGCGCTTTTTGTCGTTACTTCTCTGTTGCAAGTCGCAGTCAAGTTTTAAAGTTGAGAGAAGCAACGCAGGTGGGGAAATCAGGATTTATTTATTTTTTTTTTTCTTGGTTAGGGCGTACTCGCCAGAAACGGTTTTAAATAGCCAAGTCAGTTTGTTAATGAGAGCGAGGCGATGTAAAGAACAGCATTGTATGGCTTTTACGTATGTACGCGCTAGTAAGCTTTAAAGGGCTTTTGCTAAGATCTGATACGAATGTTAATGTACGTATGAAATGTTTGTGCAGTTACGGAGGGGAGTCGGACAGGCATGCATGTTACCTTGGCACTAGCGATGGCTGTGTAATTTCTCAGCTGGCCTGTAGTGCCAGCCAGCAGAGCGTACCCAGAAGTTGTGATTAGTATGCCAAACGTGCCGTTTGATGGAGAGGAGTCGCAGCCATCTATTAGCGGGTCTCAGGCAACGTTTGCGCCAAGCGAACGCGTAGGGAAGAGTAGGAGCGGTATTGAGGTCGATGCTGAGGGATGACGGACAGATATTGTATAGGAATATCCTTAAGGTATTTTACTTTTAATGAAGGGATGAGTTAAGCCAAATTGTTTTGCATTGTTAAGAAAAGAATTGGTTTATGCTTATAAAAATGGATGAAATTATCTAAATGATCCATTGAGTGCCCATTTTAATTACATAGATGGAAGGATTACAAGAGGACAGTATTTTATGTCTACCTGCTGCTTACTGTGAGGTCAGTTCTTCAAATTTTTATTACTAGACTCTTACATAAACCTTTGAGTTAAATTTCATTTCCAAATACACAAAGGGAAGTTTGTGGGCCATGGTCGTCTTTATTCATTGTACGGTTTTGTGTTGTTTTGTTTTGTTTTTTCCTTTTGTTTTTGTCTCTTTTTACCTCCAAAATGGAATGTTTTTGTTTTATATAGAGCATACATTTATATATATATATATTTTATATATATACACACACTTACCTATGAAAGAATTGTGTGGCTATTTGCATATAGATGCTAGAACACTCTTTTACAAGTCAGGTGTGTTAAACTCCTACCCTAGCTATCTATCTAAAACCTTGGTTTTGAGCCGAATTTTTCTTTGGAAATGCTTTCATATAAGGTAAGGTAAATGAAGTAGCTTTTATCGCAAGACTTTTTTTTTCATATCAATTCTCTTTCTAGCGTGCAATGATGCGCTTCTCAGAGTTGGAGATGAAAGAGAGAGAAGGCCAAACAGCTACCAAAGACTCAGAGGTCTGCAGATTCAGCCAGGCAGACTGGGAAAACTTGAAAGGAAGCAGTGAAAAGAAGCCAAAGTCTGTCGCTCTGGAAGATGCCATTGCTGACCAAAATGACAATGACAGATGTAAGCGAATTTAGATGGCTTTCTGAAGCGCGTACGCGTCTCTCTGCCGCGGCAGCTTGCAGCAAAGCTGGACGGGCAGGGTCATCGTCGTGTTCTCGCGGTGGTGTTGGTTCAAGCCCCTGACCTCAGCTTCTGTAGGTACGGAGCTGCCAGGGCTGGTGCTCTCGGTCCTTGTTTTGGGGTCTGCAAGTTACTGGTGACAGTCGTACCTGCTTTTCAGGGGATAGCGAACTGCCACCGAAATGACTGCCTTAAAGAGATCGTCAGTTTAATTGATGGGGTGCCCCATGAACCAGTGAAAGCAAAGGTCCGAGGTTACGTTTGAAATGCAGAAAGGAGGTGGGGGAAGAGAGGGAGAGGCAAGAAGGAGTTCAGCATCCTCAAGGTGCTGTAGCGCTGGGGGGATGCCAATATTGCAGCTTCGAGGGAAAGCAAGGATGGAGGGCGGGAGGGTGATGGGGAGCGGGAAAGGACGCGCTCTGCCAGGCTGGCTTATCTGTAAAAGCTGGCTGTAAAACGCCAAAGGATGAGAAGCTACTTTGGCTGGGAGACTGCTTGCCGCAGTGGCCAGGAGGAG